TCGAACTTCTTTCTGTATCTCTGTTGGTTTTAAGATCATTGAAAAATTCTAGTAGCAAATGTTCTGAGATTGCTCATCAGACTGGACAATACGTTGTTGTTTTTAGTCACGTCAATGTTAAAATGCCGCACAAAATATTCGCCCTTTTTGATTAAGTATTCAGCAAGCAAATCAAGAAGTTCTTCCGGTTCCGGTTCCTCTCCGCAATCTGTTAGTCATCCTTATAGGGCGATGTTTTTCCAACAAAAAGAGACCTGTTTCGACGTTTCTGTAAGTGCAATTACCATTGATAGATTGTTCGATTTCAACATACCCACGAACTCATCGAAATTTTGATTCTTTGATTTTATATTCTGCAATAAAGTGCTGTTAGATCTCGTTTTTGATAGCGATTTTAATTGCCGTTGCCTCAAGACTTCAGTTTTTTCGTTTGAAATTTTTTTGTTTTTTTATCTACTCAGTTGTGATGTTTATTTAGTTCAAAAGCCATCACAAATGTGCATTGACTGGAACAAAAACATAAGCAAGCATGGTCGTTGAAATAAGTAAATATTGAGTCTGATAATCCGGTTATTTATTTGTCAAACAAGACCTCAAAGCGTTTAGTGAAGCAAAAATCCGTAACGACTACCATTTGTACAGTACAACCAAAAATTATTTCAAATTTTCAACCGTTTTTGCATTCAGAACTTTAAGAATCAATGCTAAAGAATAGAACCGTGAAACTGCTTTTCTTGACTAGGATTTCTCTTGACAAGCAAGGCATCTGAGAACGAGGCTGAGCAGACAATTGCAAACCTTATTTCTAGAAGGTACTTCTTAATTTTTTTAAAAAGCGTTTAAAGAAGCAGAAATTCGTAACGCCCACAATTTGTACAGTACAATCGAAATTTATTTCAAATTTTCAATCGTTTTTGCCTTCAGAACTTAAACAATCTATGCTAAATATAGAACCGTGAAACCGCTTTTCTTAACTATGATTTCTCTTGACAAGCCAACAAGGCATCCGAGAACAAGGCTGAGCAGAAAATTGCAAAACTTTAATCCTAGAGGGTACTTTTGAAACTCTATTCAAATTTGAATTAGTAGTTCCTTTTTTCGGATAATCTGTGCTATTGCATTTTCTTCGAAGTAAAGTTGAAATGTGGTAGCAGAAAATTGCAAGCCAAAACTCAACTCTAGTACAATTTGATGTTTTCAAGTTTCTACTTAACATTTTAAGGATAGGCCAAGCAGAAAATTACAGAATTTTTGATTTATTTACTTAATTTACCGGCGGGAGTTTTTATATAATCGATGAAAAAAAAGTAAACAAATTTTTAAATTTTATCAGATGAATTTGGTTTACGTTACGTTTGCTATTGTCTAATCTGAGGAGAGCCATGAGATGGTTGAAATCGTATCCCCTCGCTCAGCTGTTTAATTTTTTATTCAAGTGTTCTGCTTAAACAGATTAGAAACAAAAAACTTTGAAATTTTTTTAAAATTTAAATCTAAAAAAAGACAAAAGTTTAATTTGAAAACGCTGCCAGACCCGAATTAGTTTGAAAAAATTGTTTGTTTCTCCAAGGAATTTCTTCTTGAGGATAATTTTGTGAAACAAATCAGTGATGCCAGATCAAAATCAGGCCAAATAAAAAAAACTAAAAAATGAATTTTGTCTCTTTATGTCCGAAACAGTGTATGTTTGCTCAATGAAACAGAACTTGAATATTTTTGTCGATAAATAATCAAATTTATCATGAGTTAGCAGTCTCAGTTTTTCCAGTTCACATCAGTGTGTTTCCACTTCTCCATTTCGTGCTTTCTTTTGCTCAGGCGATACATTAACGTAGAAACGGTTAATACGTCTTCATCTCATAATGCCGCAGCAGGCCATTTATTGTTGGTAGCGTTCCGCCTCTCCATTGATCTATTATCAAATTTTATCGGGTTTCTTCAGTTTTTGCAATTGCTTCACGCTTCTTACTGGCATGTATGTTGGGTACCATCATTCATTGCATTTAGCTGTTACTGCGCAGTTATTCGATTATGTAATATCACCTAGGCTTGCTATCTCGTTTCGTGCAAAGTTGAGGAATTAGCGACCAAGAAGTTTCTCAAACAAAATCGCAAGGTTTGCCTTAACTCAAATTTTTGTTTATGTTTCAATTCAATGGCTTTCAGAAATTTGAACTTGTTTTTTTTGCAACTTAAAAACGACCAAAGAAACCGACTGAATTTGACCTGCTCATTTTGCTGATAAATGAGCTTTAATACTAAATTCATCTCAGTTTAAATTCATCACTCTAAATTCATCTCACAACAATGTGGAGTTACCTTGTAACAGTCAGTAATAAGGAACGAAGGACAAACTACCAACCCAAAATGTGTCGACATCATATTGTTTTGCTTGCAAGAAATTACAAATCACAACACGACTGCTCGTATATCAGGGTGCAACCATGAATGTTCCCAGTGCAATTTTAAGGACAAATAAAAACTGGAAATTTGACATTGACAAAGAATTTTTTTTTCATGTTTATACCTTCAGTTCCCCCTATACGCTAAATATCTACAGAGGGATCGATTTAGTGTCTCGCATAGTAACAGTCAAAGCAATTGACTTGCCTCAACTCAAATGGATCGAAATATCAGCCGCTTGCGCATTATCCCAAACCGACCCAATTTGCATTTTTCAAACTTCCGTAACTTTTCAAAAAAATTCACAGGTGAATTTTTTTAAAAATTTTAACTCAATAAAACAATATCTGATAGTAGCATAGAAAATTTCCGCCAAAAACGTTCAAATAAAAAGCCGAAATATTACTAAATGAAAATTAATTTAAAACCTCCTGCATGTACTAAACTCAAGTCTGATTGACTGAAAACTAACTCTTTTGTAAAAGTGAAATATCTTCTCAAAATTCAGTTCAGTGGAGAGATTGTTCACATGGTCCCAGGACTTCTGCAGCCGACAAGTTAGTCTTTTTTCAAATAATTTTCCTATTTGTTATAACAAGACTGCTCGTATCAGGGCGAAACCTCTAATGATCCGGCAGAATTTTAATTAGTGCGGAGTCACTTAGATTAAAATAGATGATGAAGTTTTCAAAAATATATATATAAAACTCACATTTTCTTGATTTGTGTTGATTTAAAAAGTTAACCCATCAGCATGAAAAAAATTTTGGTTTGAATCTTCAGCTCCCTTTATACGCAAAACAACAAAAAGGGACCTATTCAGTGTCTGGCATCGTAAAAACCAAAATTTTTAATGATTTGCTTGAATTCAATTTCAGTGCACTATCCTGTCTTTCACACATTATCACAAACCGACCTAATCAGCAGTTTTCAGACCCCCTTATTATTGCAAAAAATGATCATAGGTGAAATTTTTTGAGCTCAAAAAAACAACATCGAAAAAATGGTATAAAAATTTTTTGTCAAAGATGTTTTGTTGAAAAGTCTAATATTGACTGAAAAAAAACCACCAAGCACAAAAATTCCGCTTTCCGTTTGAAAGTAAGAACATTAAGATTGCTCGCGTCATGGCTACAATTTGAATTTTTGACTACCTTTGTTGTATTGTTCAATTTGAAAAAAAGAAATTTGCAAAAAAAATACATAAAAAATGTTTTTTTTTAAAACATCCTCATACATGCTAGTGAAAAAAAAAGTTAAAAAAATTAGTGTGAATAACGTATTAATTAGAATAATTTGCATGCCTCAATTCAACTTGGTACAACTTCTAAGCCGGATTAACTATCCGACTACGCGGTAATAGCACGAAACAGCTGGCGCGTCATTTGTCCCCAAAAAAGCACTTTCTAAATTCCATAACATTACGAAAAATAATGACAGATGAAGTATATGTTTTTGAAATTCAGCTAAAGACAACAATACTTTTCAGATGCCTTAGAAAACTTGCCAAAAGTGTTTTTTTTTAACTCGAAGTTAGTCTGGATAGAAAGAACCACCCCGGGCACAAATATTCCGATTGTAAAAACCACCCCCTTGAACGCTACGTATAATACAAAGTGATATATTTACAATTTATTAAAAATTTGCACTTTTTCGTAAAATGAGTTTTGAATTGCTGGCATTTTTCCATTAATTTTTCGTTATGGAAACGTATGACCAGCGTTTTCAGTCTAGAGATTAACCTGGATTTCGGAATATTTATTTTTAAATCTTATTTTGTCCTCTTTTTAACATCAAGCTATAGGTTAAAGTTAAAATAGAAATTCAAATGAGGTAAAAGTTTGTCCAGATATGATTTAATTCATTTCACTCAAGAACTTGAATTTGGTTTTGCGTCAGAAGTTTTCAGCAGCACAAAAGGTTTAGAGGGTTATCAACAACTTGGGAAACAAATTTCTTCAATTCTGGAAACGCTGTCTGCAGATTTTCCAAGTTTGATTAACAGCAAAAAATGACAATTATTTTCTGGTTCTTGACATAACTTTTTTGAAATGATTTGCTTGTAACAGGTGTGTTAGTGCTAAACGCTGTCTCTATAGCAGAGAAAAGAAGGTCGAATCCGGAGCTAATTACAAACCCATGAAAACTTAGAATATTTAGCGCATCCACAGCTGTTCCCTTTTTTCACTCAAGTTAACTATAAAAATAAAAACCTGAGCTCATTTTTGTGAAAACACACCATCGGTGTGCGCCAATTTTGATAACAACTCAAAAAAAGCTGATTTAAGAATGATGCAAAATTTTGGCCTAGAAGTTGATACATTCCTTCCCCTTTCATCAGAAATTCTTGCAAGGACATAACTTTTTTTTCGTTCACAAATAGAGCTGCACTTTTTAGCAAACATGCCAATCTATAGTTGCTAGTCCGTAATTTACACAGTTTAGTTTCTCCGTGGAACCCAAAGTCACGGATTCAGTTTGCGTAACAGGTTGTCCAGTATTTATTTACAGATACCATTACACCCCAAACACACTCTTATCTCAATATATCAAAACCACGCTGTTTCTTACAATGATTTTAGTTTCAACAATCCTAATCGCTTCTATAACTGAAGTCGAAATTCCTATCTGAAAATACTATGACTCGTTTAGAGATTCTTATCTGAAAATTACAACTCGGAATTTGGTCAAATTTATCTGAAAATTCTGAACCAAACAGACTTCTAAAAGACAAACCGGCTGTACTTGTTGATCATTTAAGATATCTTATGTATAAAAGCATATCATCTCGCAAAAATATGACTTGGTCTTTTTGGTTTCAACTTAATCAAATCATGGTTTGTTTTTCTACCAATAAATTCTGCTGTAAAAGGGGCCTTACTAATAAATTACACCTTTGAGTCTGCGGTTAATTCTCATTTGCAAACGAAATCATTTTGACGATCAGAGATTAGTAAAAGATCAGTTATTAGATAAATATTGCAATTGGTTTTATCGAATTTTGGAAGTTTATTTAACTAACCTGTGATAAGAATAGGGGAGCGGGTGGTTGTAATAAATCAACTGGACTTGCCATCGTCCGATCATTTGCCCTGATAATTTTCACCTCAGCAAGTTGGTTGTTCTATTAGTTTTAAAAAGTTGAAGCGACAAACGTTAACAATGGGAAGAGAAGGATTTCCATTCAAGGATTACAGGTAAGATTTCCATTCAAGGATTACAGGTAAGATTTCCATTCAAGGATTACAGGTAATTTATATAGTGCTATATTCTACTGATTAACTGATCGAAAAATGTCTTCAGGTTTCGCCTTTAAAAAAATTGCCTGAAATTTTTTTAGATCCATAGTTTTGATTAATACGTGAATCAATATGGCCCAGATAAAGCAAAACTTTCAATGTAACTGTCAGATTTTTTCAAGCTTTAGTTTCGCCGCTAAAACTTTAAAGTACATATCGTGTTGGTAAAAATGTAGCCTTTTCCCCAGTCACTTATTTTCTTGCAAAAAGCACAGGTGAAAGAGTTGATGGGCGAAGAGCCGTTTTTGTCTCTTCCTAATTTCCTAATTAAATGTTTGTTTTTGTTTAGTCTGGGGACGGAGGACATCCGCAACTTCCATTTTTGGAAGGGGGTGATTGGAGAGGGAATTGCCACCATGTTTCTGGTGCTGTCTGTACTCACAGGGGGGACTTACGGGACCGGAACTGCCCCCGCCTACGGATACGCACTAGCATTCGGATTCTCTGTGCTCACATTAGTATACGTAAGTGTATCAATTTGGAGTTTTTCTCTTTATAGTCAGTCCCCTTCAGTGAATTATAGACACACCAAATTGAAAAATTTAACCGGGGGGATATAATTTATAACTTTTTTTAAACAAATATTCACTGAAGAAAGGCACACATTTTTGTTTTTACATTAGCTCATTTGAGCACAACGCCAAAGTGTGAATTTTTCTGAGTAATCACGAGAGATCTTGACTTAGAGCAAAAAGTAACGTTTTTTTGGCCAAAAGTCAAAATCATCTTGTCAATAAAGACTAATATCTGGTCTTACCCCCACTGAGTTTTCATAGATACTGCTCGGTTATATTGCATTTTTATCGTCTGTCTCTCTGAATTTCGAAAATAATCGTTTATAGTTTAGTAGATATGGTTTATATTGTTAATTATTCTCGTAGTTCACCAGCGCACTTCATGAAATTTATTTCATGGTCACGTTATTCAGGTCAGATTGATAATGGCCGTCATTTGAAGATTATATGAAGATATGAATTCATTGAACTTAAAATCTTTGTGTTGAACTTACTTTTGACTTGAAATATTCTACATGGAAAAACCAAAACAATGCTTATTCTGTTCAGTTTTTCAATCGCAATTGAGTGCATTGAATTGAAAAAGTACTATCGAAAATAAAAAATAATTGCCACTAGAAATCAGAAACCGAAAATTTTTTTGGTTTTTTTAGTAGACTGGAAATTTTATGGACCAGCTGACCATTTACTCTGATCACTTTTAAACTGCCGGTATTCATCTAGAAATGACGATAGCAAATTTGCTGTAAATCCGTAAAACATAAATCCAGGCCTAGTTTTTTTGCCCGCTGACAAAATAAGCTGAATTGAAAGATCCGGAAAACAACATTTTTGATATAGACCATATCATTACGAGGCCAACTGTGCACTGGATAGGCGCACAATTTTGTGTCTGTATGTTCCTGGATTTCCGAGACCAGTTTTTAAACATTTTCATAATTGTAAGTGGATTCCATTTCGAAAATTTCCAGGGATTCTGCGTACAAATATTTGTGACGTAACTTTTATCAACATATTAGTTTTGTTGCAGATTCCGCAAGAAGCGAACATAGCTTGTTATTCCGGATTCCGCAAATAAAAGCGGATTCCGCATTAGTAAAGTGGATTCTGCAAACTTATGCGGATTCCGCTTACAATTTGCGAATTCCACCTGCAGCTGCGGATTCCACGACAACTTCATTTTACTAAACATATAGATTATAATTGTTTTTGATTTCCGCAAACTGTTCCGGATTCCGCAAATTTTGTTGTTTGTTATGGATTCCGCAAAGTTGCCTGTTTTTGGAGCAATTTTGAGCAATACAGTTTCATACCTTTTTCCCGTGAAATCCAAAACATCAAAGAAGATCAAAGAAAATTGAGAATGTTGCGGATTCAGAGACAAATCCATTTTAGGCCTATTGGGGACTCCGCTTAAGTTTCACAAAATGCACAGTTTGGCCTCGTGAAGATTCTGGACAGCTACCAGCAGCCTTAAAAAGTTTGAGGTTTAAAAAAAGACTAGGCAAAATTTTTGTCTAAAAAATTGAGAAATTCAAGAAATCCTACACAATGTATTTCGGAACTTCCATCACATCAAACATTTCGTCATAAATTTGTTTATGCAATATTTTAATCTGGATTTAAGCTTCAAAAACCACTAACAAATGTCAAAGAGGTGTCTGTGTAGTCCAGAAGCGGTTTGGCACCATAAAATTAGATTTTTGTAATATTCCAAGCAACTGAAACTGCTACCTTCTAAAAACAACCCAAGTAAGTTCCACTGGTTACAAACAAAAACGAAGATTTCGAAATGATAACTAATGAAAACTGAAAACAAACCCTTCAAAGGAAGTTTTTAGTGAAAAAAAATAACAGAACATAGTTTGGCGCCTTTTTTGCAATGTTGCCATAAAACAATCGCTAACTGAAACGCTTGCATCTAGACGAAAGTTAGATTTGCGTAACTTTATTTTGTAATCATCCCGTTCAAAATTTTGGATCATATTTTGCCTTTTCTTATTTTCATTTAGAAAAAAAAAATCTATCCCGATGATAGCTTAAAAGCAATGAAACACGAAGAAATAACCTCCCACACTCACGTTCAATTTTGTTTTCAAATCATGAAAATATTTAAAAACCCTTACTGGTATTGCCACCATGCTCACAGGTAATTGCCACCATCTGAAAAAAGCTACTAAATACAGCTTTCTGTTTCGACTACTCTCGAATGTGTGTGGTGAGGAAACATGGCGTAAAAACAGGTTTTCGACCTTATTATAGAACCTCAAAAGAAGCTGGTAAAGGGTCTATTCTGACATCCAATTATTACTCTCAGATTCAGAATTGGCTCGGAATTCAATTTTTTGAAATGCTCTGACTTTAATTACACAGAATAATTTAAACTGACCTTATAAATTGAATTTTTCTTATAATTCACTTCTTTGTATATTTTCCATGCTAACATCATTTTCTTTGTGTACTATTTTTAAATTAACTTATGGGCAAAAAAAATGTTTAGAAAAATTGAAAAACATTTTGAAAATGAGCGTGGTCGAAACTTTTTGGGTACTACCACAGCAAATAGCTATTTTGCCTAAAAAGTTCAGTAATGAACATTCAAAATTAATTCTAAATGCTGCTTACGAGGCTAGACTGGGATTCTTTGGTTTTATCTTGAAAAAACTCCGTAATCCCTGTATAGTATCTGTAAAATCCCTGTAAAATCATGAAATCTACTCAAGAAGTATTTTGAGAAAGCGCTAAGTTTTTTAATTGGTTGGCAACATTTTTTCTGAAACTTGATAGTAAAAACTTAAATCTTCTCGTAAAATAATAGGCTTGATGCCTCCGATTTGCAGAGGATCTATGAAAAGCTATCAACCAGTCTGTGCATAGTCAGTTTGAATTATCTTCTGGTTACACTATTCATCTGGTACCACTATTCCAGCCAAAATAGTTCAGGTTGTGGT